AAAGCATCAGAAAAGAAAAATCGATAAATGACAGCCTACAGAGTACTAGTGATGGAATTTTTAACTTGAAAATTACTTATGAATAGATTTCACAGTCTTTATAGTCACATGCAAATTACGTGCTAATAAAACTTTAGCTCAGCAAACTATTTTACACAATTAGTTGACGTATTTGATATTGTGTTTACTGCCCTATAAGTGTATCTCACTATTTGTCATCGGTAAATACCTGAAATATATGTGTAAATAGAATTTTGCAGTACAAGTCGTATTTTCTCACTGATTTGCATAATAATGTCAAAAAGCTTCATCTTCACTTTAATCCTAATTGGGAGTGAGAACAGTTTCTCTTCCTGAGTATTTCTGTCAACTAGTTAAATCAATATTTAAATGCACCAGAAGTTCTTATTTTTAAAACATCCAGCAATAATCATTTTAATAAGAAAAATCAATCTTAAAAAAAATAAAAAGTTATTCTTTAACTAGGTAATTTTAAGTCAGAATGGACAACAGAGATTATCTAGTGCAACTCCTTCACTTTGCAGATGAGAACATTTTGAGGCCCAGAACGGAAAAATTAAAGAATTTGCCTCATATCACACATACAGCTGCAGTTGTTGGTGCAGACAGAACTAGAACCCAGACCTTGAGTATACTTTCCACTGTGTTATGTGTTTATAAATCTGGGCTTTTCCATATTGAATTTTCTTTGTATATCATGTGCCAAATTAATTCAAGTGAGGCCTGTTGGTGAAGGTCTCATCGGTGCAACTAAAGCAGGAATGTCTTCTGGAAACTGTTCACCTGGATGCTTCAACTGTGTTGCATGGAGCCATGTTTAAACCTCATCTGAGGCACGTTATGAACCCACAGACTTTTGTTGAGTCTGGATCTCATTCTGAGATTTTGTCTTAGTTTAGCCAAAAGAGCAGGTAAGTTGAAGTTTTAGAAAACTTGAGGGTTTTTTTGTGTGTGTGTGAGAAAGATCACCCCTGAGCTAACATCCGTGCCAATCCTCCTCTTTTTGCTGAGGAAGACTGGCCCTGGGCTAACATCCATGCCCATCTTCCTCCACTTTATGTGGGACACTGCCACATCATGGCCTGACAAGCAGTGCCTCGGTGTGCGCCCGGGATCTGAACCCCGGGCCGCCAGCAGCAGAGCGCACGCACTTAACCACTCCGCCATGGGGCTGGCCCCTAGAAAACTTGAGTTTTAAGTGCAACTTCTGTCGCTTAATTCTTGTACAGCCTTGAGCAAATTATTTAGCCTCTAATGGTCTTAATTTTCTCAACCATAAGTAGAGATAATGGCTCTCCTTACCTCACAGGGTCATTGTGCTGAGTGGGTGTTGTGGCAGTGAGCACAGGGTTTTTGAGTATTTATTGTGTACCAGACACTTGACCAGTTGATAAAATTAAAGTCAGGTAGTCTTCTTAGAAACAAACCCAAAAACTTAGTATCTGTGAGTAAAGTTTTCACTTATCAGTTAGTTAATTTCATATGTATATAATTTTATATTTGTAATTTATCTTTTCACAAATAAAATCTCATCTCCTGTTACCCAGGCCTTTTTTTTGTTATTGTTACCTTTATTCTTTGATCACGTTAAGACTTCTGTCAGTATTCCTTTGTTCATTGACAAACTGCAAAGCAATTATCTGTTATTTCTTATCTACTTGATTTCTTTCCTAGGTATGCTACTTCTGAATCTGTCTCTTACAGCAGATTTTTAAAATCTTTCTTAATGAGGTTGAATGACAAAATTACTTTTCACAGGAGAACCAATGCCATTTGTTGATATAAATTAAAGTTCTCAGATTCGAATGTCCATTAGACCTCTTCCTGAAAATCAGGTGAGGGTGGACATTGGTAGGTACAAAAGTCCTATTTTTTTTCTATCAACTTTTTAAAAAATGTTAAACTTGGTTATCAGAATATAGATTTACATTTGTGTCATTGGGCCCCTTTTATCCATGTTTGTATATTAATATAAAGAAAGAAATTCCTGTCAAACAACATGGTAATATAAGCAGACACATGAATAATGCACATAGAACAATTGTATTTTTTTTGGTTAAAGAAGATTTTAATTGCTTGATGTTTTAAAAGTAAAAATTAAATTTCTAGTAATTGTTTTTATATTCTTTGTACTGTTATAGTTTTAAAAACAAATTGTGGAATCTCAAGATAGATCATTTTACTATAAAAGTTATTGAAAATTCAGAAAATCAGGTAACATAGGATACATGATTTGAAGTATGCTGCCTTTGGGACATGTTTTAGATACTTTGATAACTTAACCTCTGTTAAATGCTTGGCAACGTTAGTAAGAAAGCCAGGGTCACCTTCGTAACTGGGTTTCCTTCTTGCTGACTCTTGTTTTCTGCGTTACTAGACTGCTGAACAACAATAACAAGAAGGCAACAGCCTCAAAATTAAAGAGGTTTAATTAAAAACAAATTTTAGATGACTATGGAAGATATTTATTTTCAGCAAAAAAAACTATTATGGATATTGGTGGCAAGGAAATGTATCTCATGGAGATTGACAATACTTGGTATTTTAATATCAGTACCATATAAATTAGTTCAGGTCTTTTTTTTTTTTTTTTACAGTTTTATTTATTTATTTATTTTTTTGTGAGGAAGATCAGGCCTGAGCTAACTAACATCCATGCTAATCCTCCTCTTTTTGCTGAGGAAGACCGGCTCTGAGCTAACATCTATTACCAATCCTCCTCCTTTTTTTTTTTTCCCCCCCCAAAGCCCCAGTAGATAGTTGCATGTCATAGTTGCACATCCTTCTAGTTGCTGTATGTGGGATGCGGCCTCAGCATGGCCGGAGAAGCAGTGCGTCGGTGCGTGCCTGGGATCCGAACCCAGGCCGCCAGTAGCAGAGTGCACACACTTAAGCGCTAAGCCATGGGGCCGGCCCCAAATTAGTTCAGTTTTAAATGCTCTAATCTCATGTATCCAGCAATGACTATTCTCAATTAATATACCTAAATATATTGATTTTTTCCCCATTTTATTTTGTTCTCAAAGTAGAAATCTAATTCGTTTAGAGAAATGTATTTTATTACTTACAAAGTTCTAAGCATTCTTGGCAATTGGATTGTTTTATGTCAATGTTAAATAAGGAAAGAGATTAAGAGGCATTGGCTTTATGTTTTCATTTTTGTTCTCATATCAAATAAACCTCCCTTGCCTTTGAAGAGAATCTCAGATCTACTATAGCTACCTTAACAGACTGTGAGAATATGAAATAAATAACAGATCATGTTGGTTGAATAAATTGTGGCAACTAAAAAACTAAGAAGTGATGTATGTGGGTGGTGTTTAATAATGTGCCTTCAGATAACAAATTTACTCCCAAGTATTTGAGGCAGATTTTATTATTGAACAATTCTGGGCAGAGGGAAAAATGCTTAAGAAACTTTTTGCATGTATGAAATGATAATGGTCTTGAGTAGATTCATTACTGTGGATTGGGATGCACTGGCTGTGTTCTTGGTCCACCCTCCTTTAACCCATGGTGATGTCCATCTGGTGGTTGACTGGAGTTCATTTCCTAATCTGGGACCTTGGGGCAGATTTTACCCCCTGTGCAAAGTTAATTGGCCTGGGTGGGAATTGAATCTGCTGTGTTCCAAAGGCAGCACTGTGTTCTGAAAGTTGAGCTAGCCAGGGCAAATATGTGTTATGAGACCGTCATATCGTTGCCTTTATGGAATATCATTATTTATAGACACATTTCCTCATTCATGAAGCTAGAAAAAATGTGTTCATGTAATTTGTTGTAATTTCATTGAAAATGGAGAAATAACTATATGAGAAATAACCATCCTCCCAAATCCTTCAATTGGAGCCATATTTGTTTTGCACAGAACAGCATTCTTTTCTCTTGGTTTCATTTTTGTTAGATAGGTACTTTGGGGCTAGGTGTGACTAGTCAATAAAATGTTTACAGAGATATGCATATATTTTTGCTGGACCACCTACCATTGATTTTGCACACTGAGCAGTCTGCTACATTTCCTAACTTTTTATATTCTTTAATGTTAGAGATATGCTCCAAGTTAAATTTAATTCTTTCTTTAGGGCATTTCTTCTGCCTGTGTGAATGCTTTACTTAGCATCCTAGTAAAGCAGCTACTGTTGTCTTTAAGGTCCCACAAGTTTTACAGCATTAGGCACTCAACTTCTGAAATAGCTGTGCTCCTCAACTCCATTATCGTGACATTTAATGTTCAGCCATAGCACACAGGTTGTCCGTTATGAAGATTCTTAAATTTGGTTAATGTTAAAGCAAATTTTCTTCACCGTTACTAAATTTTCTTTGAGATGTTTCGTAGCATTTGTAAAATATTTTAAAATAGTAACATTAATGCTAATATTCATGTGGGAAATCATTTAGGTTATCTTCCTAAATTCGTATGTTTGTTTTATTGTCTTCTTTTTACAAACGAAGTGGAGCTTATACTGGTCTTCATTTGTCTTAAAAGATCAAGTTTTTGAATTACTATTATTTTAGCAGTTTGTTCTAAGAAAAAAAACTGATGGAAGATGAGCTCGGGTGATTGGGACATTGATTCAGGTTTACTTGGCGAAGCAGTTCATTAACTACTTGTTAGTTATCTATGATTATTTCTGAAAAGCTATAGTGGCTTCCATCTTTTAGGTTGCTTCATTAAATCATTAATTTTCTTGGAGGTAACTAAGCCTGACATAATTAAGTCATCTCAGTTTCCACAGATTTTTATCTTCCCATTATGTCAAGAACATTGAGCTAGTTAACACAAGGCATTGTAATTTATTCCCTGGATGTATTGACTTTATATTTTGGAATTATTTATAGTGTTTTGGCTAGTTTTATATTATATTTAAGTAATCTCATAAATGTATACCTTTTAATTATTTACTTAATGTTTTACCTTAGATTTTGTATTTCCTGTGTAATAAGCCCATTTATGTGTTTGAACCACTTCTTACCAACAGCTCTTTGACCCATGGCTACATGAAGCTGCTTCACTTTATCCAGAACATTATTTATGAGGAAGGATTTGATGGATCCAATCCCCAGGTATTGAGTACCTTCAAAGCCTTTTATAATCAATCATATATGTAATGTTGTTTTCAAACTCTCTAGGCGCAGACCGAGAAGGTCTTAAAATAATCAACAGTGAACAAGCTGTTTCCAAGCACAGAAGATATAACTACGCAGAGCACAGGCAGCTTTAGTCTGACTGTTAATTTTAGCTAAGTTCTCAGTGGATACACATGAGATGTATACATACATTGTCAACATTAATTATTTTTAAATATGTATATGTAGCACCCAGAATTAATAAATAGCCACACTTTGAAAGTTACTCTTAAGTCTGCAAGATTTGTACTTTCCTCTCTAAATTTTTTATACTTCTGTCATTCGGTCCTTAGTTTTGAATTACCTTGTGAGTAAGAATTAGTTATTTTAAGATTTTGTTTCTTATTACATTATGCTTTGAGTTGTCTCATTGAATTAAAAAATGCATTTTATTTGCTATATTAAAATATTTTATAATTTAACTATTTCTCTGTTGCTCAATTTTTAAAAACTTCCTTTGAATTCCCACTATTAAAGATATTCTGGTTAGTTTAACTTAAACAAAATAGGGGAAATTTTATTTCTAGATATCATGCCTTTCAGAATTCTTCCTCAGTGATTTTAATTGCTATAGCTGCTAAAAGATTTGCGTTTCCTTTATATTATTTTAGCAGAATTATTTCCAGAGCACTGTTATTTTTATTGAAGAAGACAAAGAAGCCAAAATCTTGTTTTTGGCGTTATCAACTACGTTTGCTTTTAATTCATAGATTTTTAGATCTTCTTATAAACTGTGCTGCTATTTTTAACACTTTGTGTATGGTAAAATAAATTTTTAAATTTATCTTGGCTATTAGTTTAATAGCCGGTTGAAAGTACTTATGTCTGTGTAGTGAGGCACAGACGTTCATTTATAGATGGCTTTTTGTGTATGTTAAGTTTTTGTCATGGCACTTGGTATTTAATACAATTTTGTTTTGCTCATTGTTGCTTCGTTTTTGATCCTAGCTAAGATTAATGGGCACCATGTCTTCTTTTTGGTGGCAATGCCCGTCTGGAGAGGTAAATTGGTCCCTGACAGACACCTCTCCCCACTCGCTGTGGTAACTATGGAAACAGACATGTCATAACAGTTCCTATGGTACAGTGTGCAGAGCTGCTGCTCTTGCAGGATGATGGCACATCTTCTAAGAGCAAGATATCTTGTAGAATGCAAAAAAAGCAAAGACAATAGCAGAGAGAGACACACATACTTACACATCCATCCAAAGAACCCTTAGTAAGTAAGCTATTATTAGAATGGAATGAAAGGTTTGTTTTCTTAGTTATTTGAGTATGAAACAATGCCATTTTCAATAAACAGTATGTTATTTCATGAACATTGATAGACAACGAACTGGAGCTAGTTTGGCTATCTGAACCAGAGGTTCTGTAACTACTGACTTTCATAGAGATTAAACAAGGTTGAGATACACATTTCTATGGTAAATACCAAGAATGCTAAAAAAAATTTTTTTAATTAAAATATGCCAAGTTATTATAAAAATATATTTCCAATTTCGCTGGAATTAAAATATAGTTAGTGAATTTCCATATTGTTAAATTATAGTTTGTGTCATGTGCTAAATTACCTAGTCTATAGGTCTGTCTCAGAAACTTTAGATGAATTCCAGAAGCCACAAAAATGCATCTATCAGGCACTACTTCAAAAAATATTGTTTCTGAGTCAAAATAATATTCTGACACTGAGATAAATCCTACTTTTTAAAAGGAAATTTTCATCTTACTTTCTCTATCACTACATTTTCAAATAAACTAAACTAGTTGGAGGCAATATATAGAAATAGATTCTAAGGAACAGAATATTACATACTGTATAATTAACATTGGTAGTAAGTAAAATATTGTAGCTCATCTGTGAAGCTATGTGGAGTGGAGACATTTACAAATTACTGTCATAACTTCATTTGTTTTTAATTTCTGATTTTCAAGTATCTAAGAAATAGCAAATAAAAAATGAAATTTGAACATTGATTTTACTTAGAATAACAGATTAACTATTTTAGATGTTCTCATAGGAATAAATTTAACTATTTATTGTTCAGCTGTAAGCAAAAGTTTACTTTTTGAATTTCATTATGCCTCACAGTATGCCCCATTATTATTTAGGGTAGCGAAGGAATTGTATGTCCCAAATACACAGGAAATTTGTAATCCAGCCTTTGTTTTTGCAATTACCGTCATATTTTTAAAAATATAAATGTATTTCCTGTGTTGAAGTGTTAAGCTTAATTATGTTCTGATTTGCTGTGACCCTACCTCACTTAGTTATCTTATCACTCATTCATTTTTTGGCTTAATATTTTCATTCTTTCTATTACATATATCAGTGTATCTGTCGAAGTCACTAGACTTCTGTAGTTCTCCTCATTCTGCATTTTTGTTATGAAGTTTTAGCAAGTACTTTTTGATACAGCGGGCTGGGTGAGGATGACTGTGGGTTAAAATGCAGCCCACCCTTAGTTTCTGAAACGTTGGCAGGATACATAAACAATGTGGTGCTGCTCTCCTTTTACCTTCATGTTTCATTCTGATATCTGATTTTTTTGGAAATTCTCTCTCCCTTTTTCCAGATTGCTCTTTTTGTTGGGACTCTAACTTAAGCTACAGGTTTTTTTTTTTTGTTTTTTGTGAGGAAGATTGGCCCTGAGCTAACATCTGCCAATCCTCCTCTTTTTTTTGCTGAGGAAGACTGGCCCTGGCCTAACATCCACGCCCATCTTCCTCTACTTTATATGGGATGCTGCCACAGCATGGCATGACAAGTGGTATGTCGGTGCATGCCCAGGATCCGAACTGGTGAACCCTGGGCCGCCGCAGCAGAGCGCGTGCACTTACCCGCTTGTACCACCAGGCCGGCCCCTTAAGCTACAGTTTATGAGATAACAAGTTTAGGGATGACAAAATGAGCCTTATTCTTGCCATTTTATTTAAGTTCTGAGTTTCTAAGTAATATGGAAAAAGGAATAACGATGATATTTCACAGATATCTTACACAGACTCGTCAGAAACTTATTTATACTTCTAACATATGCCCTGGTACATCTTAGTACTTCACTTCATTCAAGTAATGCAGAAACAAAAAGAAAACAATTTTTATGGACCATCAAGGATCATAACATACGGTATCTTAGGTGGTTGTCTGTGAGAACCTTAATACAACCAGGAAAGATGATTGGACCAGCTGCCTTGATAGTGTCATCACGCTCCAGGTCCTTGGAGTCAGGAATTTTTCTCAGGTGTGCTCAGATTAAATATCTTTCTGTAATCTCATTCTTATGGTTTTATCCAGGCCATTGTGTCACTTTATGTATTTGAAGAATTGTATGGTCTCATAGAGCAGTCTTCTATTCTATTCTTGTTATTTTAGAGATGAGAAAACTAAGACCTAAGTAATGTGTAATCATCCATCTACTTAGTTGCACAGTCTAGACTGAAAGTCTATCTTACTCATCCTACTAACTACCTTCCCCTTAGGTTTTCCTTGTCTGACATCTCAGTGTTTTATTAATTTTCCCTACTTTCTTTTGTCAGTGAATTCTCCTTGAAAAGAAATACACAAATTCAACTTTCATCTGTGATATCAGGGAGATAGATATATTGTGTTGGGCAATAACTTGTTGGTTAATAAATTTCATTAGTGGTATTTCATAGCAATAGCAAGTGATATATTTTAGGATCTTGTTTCATCAGAAATCGCAACTAAAGTGGCAAATGTTCCAAATCTTTGCTTTAGGAGAGAAATCTTATTTTTCTCATTAAAATTGTAGTAATGATTTTCCAGTTATTTCCATATGCTATATTTTGCTAGTGTCTCCTTCCTTTGCCTGGAAATTTTGCTGGATTGCTAAGGAAAGTATTTTTAAAATGTCTGTTCACTTAGAATAACCCAAACAGTAGAATAGTGTAAACACATCTTCTGGCAAACTCTTATTGACAAGCATCCTAGGTTTTACTTAATGTTTTTTAAATGTTCTTTTCCCAAGAAATATTTGTCACTATTATTATGACCTTAATGGCTATAGGCTCAAGTTCTAAATGTTCACCTAAGTTTTATGAAAAGTGTTGAATTTAAATTATTCTTGTAAAAATAGATTTAAGAAGAAAAGGTAGAGGCTAGTGTAAAATCTAAAACCAAAAACATGCATTTTTAAGCTTCTTTCAAACAAAATAGTAGACAGTAGATATGATAGAATTATATGAGGGCCGGCCCTGTGGCTTAGCGGTTAAGTGCGTGCGCTCCGCTGCTGGCGGCCTGGGTTCGGATCCCGGGCGCGCACCGACGCACTGCTTCTCCGGCCACGCTAAGGTCGCATCCCACATACAGCAACTAAAGGGATGTGCAGCTATGACATACAACTATCTACTGGGGCTTTGGGGGAAAAAAATAAATAAATAAAATTAAAAAAAAAAAAAAGAATTATATGAGAAATATTGAGCAATTTGTAGTTTATTGAAAGACTTATGGAATTTTGTAATACTAAGAATGATTTGTAAGCATTCTAGTTTAGATTCTGTTTATTATGACTGTGATTTGTTATATATTATTTTAACTGACTCAAACGTAATTTTTATTCATAATGTCAAAATTTGGAAAATTAAAAGTTTGAGACTTGTGATACTCTTCAAATTTTCCAAAAGTAAAAAAAAAAAATCAGTTCTGTTATTTGTTGTACTCTTGTAATCTAAAAAATTTCCTTTACATTGCCTTATTACTGGTAGTACGTAAAGCTTTTTGCCGTGTCTATTGGCATTATCTCCCTGATCTGTTATGAATAAAAATAAGAACTGGTAGATCAAAGCAAAAGAGATATCCTGATGGTTAATAAAACTTAGTATTTACCTCCCTCCCACTTTCCTTTAGAAAAAACAGAAAAACATTCTAAGAATAGGAATCCAGAATCTTGGTTCACCTTTGTGGGGAGATGACATTTGCTGTACGGAAAATTGCAACAACAGTCAGAGTCTCACAAAGTTCCTCTATGTTCTCCGTGGTCTTCTGCGAACCTCTCTCTCAGTCTGTATTATCACAGTGCCAACCCATCTTATCCAGGTAAGAATTTCCAAAACTACTTTCCCTTAACTTGTGGTTTATAGTGAAAAGCAATATATAAATGCTTTGTGAGTCTGATAAACTGTTTTCATATGCCATTTGGATAAAAGAGGTTTCAGATGCTTGAAATGCCAGAGCATCAAAATGTCTTTTAGATTAGATTATTCATCTCTTGTGTATTTGTGGGTTTATTATACAGTGAGTATATGGTAAGTCCATCTTCACTAATTTTATTATTTTTCTTTGATTTCTTGTGAACTTGCTAACATCACTGTGACATGAGGTTGATTTTGCTGTGGGATCTTTTTGTTGATCATAAGCTGATCTGAAAATAGGTCTTGAAGAGATATTTGTACCCACGTTCATAGTAGCATTATTCACAACAGCTAAAATGTGGAAGCAACCTGACTGTTCATCGACAGATGAATAGATAAGAAAATGTGGCATATACATACAATGGAATATTATTCAGCCTTAAAAAGGAGGGAAATTCTGACATTGCTACAACATGTATGAATCTTGAGGACATTATGCTAAGTGAAATAAGTGAGTCACAAAAAGACAAATACTGTGATTCTACTTATATGAAGTACTTAGAGTAGTCAGATTCATAGAGACAGAAAGTAGAATGGTGGTTGGCAGGGGCTGGAGGAGGAGAATGGGGAGTTTGTGTTTAACGAGGACAGAGGTTCAGTTTTACACGATGAAAAGAGTTCTGGAGATGGATGGTGACGATGGCAGCACAACATTATGAATGTGTTTAATACCATTGAACTGTACACTTAAAAGTGGTTAAGATAGTTAATTTTATGTCATGTGTATTTTACCATGATAAAAAAAATTGAAAAAAAACAAAAAAGGCTGATCAGAATAGGACTCATCTCCTTCTTCTTTCTCTGTTTCTATGTATAATCCTCCTAAAGCTACACTCTTGGGGAAGGAGGTCAGGCTTCCCCAAATAGAGAAAGAGGGATCTTTGCAAGATTTTCCTCACCAGCTCAAAAAAGTCCCCTTCTTAAGAGTGTTAAAGGGGCAACTTTGTGACTGTTTTCATCATTATTACTGTTATTTTACAGGTAATATGAATGATATCATATATATTCCCACAGTATTATTATATATATTAACACAATACTAGAAATAATATAACTTAAAAAATCTGCTGCAATGAATGGAATGTGAAAGTGAAAATGAACTGAATCAACTAAAATCACATTTTCTCATGCACATACTAAAACACTTAGATTTGGAATGACTTAGAGCAGGGAAGTTTTGAGTTATGTTTTGCTTTGCTTCTCTAAGAAATAGCAATAATAACACTAATGAGAGCAGCTAATGAATACAAACCACTTTAAGTCAGAACATAACAGTTCTTACAGAATTTTTCTGTATCTACTGTTATTATCTCCATTTTGTACATAAGGAAACTGTGGTACAGTAAAGAAACTAAATCAAGGTTAAATACTTGAAGAACCGTGATTTGAACCCAGGAAATCGGGTTCCAGAACCATGTTATAGGAGAAGTCTACTAGAATATGTAACAGGTCTTTATTCTGGAGCTACTTCTCTCAAAGCTGGTAAATCGCAAATCTTTCATCTTAGAGCTAGAAAGGACTTGAAAGGCTCCTCTGAGCCCCCATCCACAGTGTTGTATGCATCACCAGTTTATTTTTATTGCTGATTAGTTTTCTGTTGTAAGAATATACCACAATTCCTTCATCCTCACACCTACTGGTGGGCATTTGAGTTGTTTTCAGATTGAGGCTATTGTGAATAAAGCTGCTATGAATGAACATTAGTGTAGTTTTTAGGCAGATATATATTTTCATGTGTCTAGGAGTCACATCCCTCCAAAGCTTTTTATTTTCAGTCTTTTTTATTTTAGCCATTGTAGTCCATGTGAAATGGTGTGACTTGTGGTAATTTGCATTTTCTTGATCACTAATGATGTGGACCATCTTTTCATGAGCTGGTTGGCTATTTGCCTGTCTTGTTTTGTCTAAATCTTGTCCATTTTTTTACTGAGTTGTTTATGTCCTCATTATCAAGTTGTAAAATTCCTTGTATATTTTACGTACCACTTTGCAATAATTTTCTTCTAGTCTGTGACTTGCCTTTTCTATTTTCTTAGCAGTATCTTTTGAAGAACTAAAGTTTTTAATCTTGTTGAAGTTTAATTTATCAATTTTTTTAATGGCTAGTGGTTTCTCTCTCCCACCCCTCCCATCTTACCAATCTTTGCCCTCTCTAAGGTCTTTTTCCTATGTTTTTGTATAAAAGTTTTATAGTTTTATCTTTTACTAGTGGATCAATATGCAATTTAAATTTTTTACACAACTTTAGTTCATGTTCTCAAATAGCTTTTGGCTTATTAGTTAACATTCTAATTATATGTTAACACATTTTACATTCACTAGTTCTCTTTTTATTAGTAGTACTGTTTACCAAAGTAGTTTTTGTCAGCCTCTAACATGTGATTTCCTATAATCTTATGTATCTGGTACATTGTAGTCTCCACCCAGGCGGGGCTACATATTTATAATCGTCCTTTTAGCTGGCTCAGGGTTATAATAATAATGCATTATCAAATGCAATCAAGTATAAAAATTTCTAACACAGTACCTAGGCTTTTTCAAGATGTTCAGTAAATGTTAATTACAGGAATATTGATTCTTACTTGGAAAATTATTTCTAATACCTGATTGTTGAAACGAGTTGAATCTTTATTATAAATTTATGTGATTTTAGTATGTTTGTTCTAACATACCCAAACCCTATCTACAAATGGCAAATTGGTTAAAATGTCATTTGATCGCATTAATTATATACAGTATATATACAGGATATTTCAAGTCCTATGACCAAAAAATTTGACATAAATAAGAAGTGAATTTTGACTCCTTGGCCAGTAGAATTTATTTGTAATAGTCATAAGAGGATAACTCAGTTTTCCTTTAACGGCTTTTTACAGGTTGTGCTTGAATCTAACTTACTACTATGAGTTTGCAGTCATACAACTATCATAGGGGAAACTCCTTTCTCTAATCATCTTATACGTTGTACATATACTTATGTTGTTTGTGTTGTTAATGATGTTGTCATTATAAAGTTAATACCTTAGTAATAGTTTGGTTAAATGTAATGAGCTCCTTGATTATGATGGTGGACAAACTTGGAGCAGACTTGTCAGACACTCGTGGAAATACTGCAGCTCACACTCGTACTACGACTGTGCCATCACTACAGGGATTTATCAGGCACACCCCGCACGCCAGGCGCCCTACGAGCATCGTGTCCTTGAAGCTGCACCACCACCTCACCTTTGTTTCCACAGAGTCGCACGTGGAAGCGGTGGCAGGGCCAGGATTCTTCCAACTCCTCTCTCCCCCCGACTCCAGCCCACCCTCTTCACTGTCAGGTTATGTGTCTTCCCTCACGACCACAAAACTCTAAAGATGGGTGTGAGGCCAACTGCAAAGGAGATTCAGCTGAAGTGGAGTGATTCTCCCAAGTCACACACCTAGTACATGTGTAAAGCTTGTATCAAACCCAGATCTGTTTAACTCTAAAACCTAGACTCTCTGCTCTTCGTCACACTGCATCCTTATGTGTCTTGAATTATTAACTACCTTTGATGGCAGTAACTTTCCATTAGGATAAAAGTTCTAGGCTAACATTGTTATCGTTCAGTATTTTTAAAAAGAAAACTATCGTTGTAAAATCTTTGACAAATTAGTACATGTGAAAGATTAAGTAAAAAGTTCCATTCCATAAAGGGAAAAAAAAAAAAGATGGAAGTGTATTTCCTTATGTGTAATTACAAAGCAAGAAAAACAATTATTAAATAAATATATGTATAAATGTAGTTTTTTATTTATTCTAAAGGTACCTATGCAAAAAAAAAGGTAAAGAAAGAAAAATTTTTTAAAAGTCATTTTGATGATGATCATCTTTATCCTTTAGAGAAGAGATGCCAACCCCATTGTGAACATTTGGACAGAGATTCCTCCTGCTGCCGTGTGAGGGACAGCAGTAATGCTATCAGGTGACCTCACATCATCCTGTCTGCACCACTGACGAAGTAGTGATTGAGATGATAGGGCGGACTGGATGTCTGAACATGAAGCAATATGTGAATTTTGACATTTTACAGATATATTTAAGTGCTTGTATAACTGGAAGAGATATGTTTAAATTTATACTTTTTAAAGTACCGATAAAGAGACTCCTTTGAGCTGGAAACAGGAGACCACAGGTGCAGACCGTGGTGATGAGTGCCCATGGTCACTCCCCTAGACAGTTTTGCTCGCTGTCCTACAGTAGTCTTCTGGCCCCAATGTCAAGTGAGCTATGAAAACAAATGAATTATTCCCATGCTCTTTGAACATGGCACCTGACCATATATTTGTTTTTATATCAAAATATTTAGGAGAAAATGTAATACTTAACAGTTTGCTTAAACCAGGCATGGTATGAATAGGAGATAAAACCCTTAATAGCTCTTCAAGACTGGCAAGGACAGTCACAATATTCAGGCCAAGGAAGGAGAATACGAAGTGGAAGCAGAGTGCTCACGAAGCTGATCACACACATGAATGCACAGAACCTGGGTGGTGAGTTTACTTCAGAAGAACTTACGTAGTGATTTCTCTGGGCCAGGTGCAGTCCTGAACTCTTTTCAAGTGTTAACTCATTTCATCCTCATAATAACCCCATATGGCTGGTGCTGTCAGTATCTCCCTTTTACAGGTTAGGAAATAAGGGACAAAAACTTAAGTGACTTTGCCAGGATCACATAGCTGGTGGAGTGGCAGGATGTAGACCCAAGCAGCCCCCTCCAATTACCACCATAGTATGCTGTTTATTCAATAGCAGTGCTAAAAAGAGTCAAAATTAAGAAACAGACTATGCACGAAGTAGCGTTCATGATAGATAGAACCTGGGCTTTTGGAGGCAGATAGACACAATTAGTTATATGATCTTAGTCAAGTCTTAGCTTT